GGCCGGGGTCGCTGGGGGGCCCGGAGGCGGGCGAGGAGCGAGAAAACCAACTTGGAGAGAGGAGTGACCTGGGGGCCGGGGGCGGAGTCGCGAGCGGGGGAGGAGAGAGCCGGCCGCCAGCGGAGCCCAGCGCGGCCCAGGAAGCGAGAGCGCCGCCCACCCATCCGGGCCCGAGCGCGCCGGGAGAGGCTGGCTGGCCGGGGCTGCCCGGGCCCTCGACCCCCGCCGTGGCCCCGCGGCCCCAGCCCGCCCCCACGATGATGAAGAGGCAGCTGCACCGCATGCGGCAGCTGGCCCACACGGGCAGCTTGGGACGGTGAGTGTCGCCCCCAGCCCTGACTCTCACCCCCGCAGAACCCGAGGGGGCGCAGACGGGGCGGCGGAGGCTGGGGAAGCTGGGCAGCCACCCGCGGGCCAGCTGGAGCCCTGCCCTGCCTTCCTGCCCTCTGAGAGCCACCCCATCTCCAGGCAGAGCGGGAGACGTCCGGGCTGGCCTTGGGGGGAAGAGGCGCCCCCACTCCTGACTGGATTGGAGGGGCCTGCCGGGGAGAGAATGCCCCTGACCCTGGACGCTGGAACTTTTCTGCTCCCACGAGCCTTGGAGAGGAGGGTCCTTCCTGGCCTCACTTGTCACCTCTGGGCAATGGGGCAGTTAGCCACCTCTGATTGCTGGGGGGGGGAGGAGGATGTTGGATTAGGGCCCCACACCCTGGGGGAGGGGAGGAGACAGGGACTGGGCTTGGTGCAGGAGGGGCTGCCCCTGCCCTGCATTGTCCCTTCCCCTTCCTCCAGCTCAGGAGCCTCTTGCTTCTCTGTCTTGCTTCTGCTTTCCCCAGACTCAGGTGGAAACATACCCAGGTCTCCTGGTTCCCACCCCAGCCCCTGAGCTGGTGGAGCAGAGCCCGGAAGTTTGGGGAGCCTCTGAGGGCCTGTCTTTTCTGCTCCTCTTCCCCCAGCCTCAGGAGTTCCCCATTCTCTGGGCCCAGGGGCGGGAACTGGGTGTCCAGAGACCTGGTTCTAATCTCACACTGGCACAGATGCCTGTGTGAGCCTGGGCAGACAGGCCACCTTGCTGTCTCCCATGTGTCCCTGGGCAGGGGCCAAGGACCTGTGCACCCCTGCCCACAGCTATAGGCCAGAGTCCAGTGTGCCTGACAGCCCAGGAGCCTGAGCTCCCCCACTTCCCATTCCTGGGGCCAGCCTGGGCCACCTTTTCCCAGGATGTGCTGACATCTGGGGTGGACAGAAGAGAGGCTTTGCCCCAGGATCCCAAAGCTGGGCCCAGGGCAGCTCTCCCAGCACCACCACCCCCC